TATATATATATACTATATATATATAGTATATATATATATTGACTAGGAATAACTTTTAGTACATGTAATCTTTACAACCTATAAATTAATCTCTATAAAAAAATTATTTCTGAAATAAGTACTAGAAACAAAATAATAATGCCTCAAGATTGAATGGAGACCGTCTAATATTTGATGTAAGTGCTACAATACTCTAAATTTGATTTTTTTTTCTTTTGAAGATAATCATCTAATAGTTTTCGCTAAACTTCGTAAACCCTAGAGTGAGAGAAGGAAAGGACCGAACCACACTCCCATTATCTATTGCATATATATGTGCAATAGATAACAAAAGACTAAAGTACCCTTGAGGGGAGAGAGAATAAATAAATGACTATATAATAAATAAACGATAAAATAACTCTCTTAACAGTTTGATGTGGTTCTCAAAATTTTAGACCAAAAATAATCTTTTTAAACAGGAGTAAGGCCCATTTTTTGCGCCCACAATTTTAAACTAAAATAATTTTTCTAAATAGGGTTAGACCCTTTTTTTTGTGCGAGGGAGTAGACCCGTAGCATGCTCTGGAGCATAGTATAGGTTCTATTTTATTTTATTTTTATTTTTTTTTTCAGTTTGTTTGGTGGTTTGTGAATGAGTAGTTAGCTTAATTCAACCTAAACAGGGCTTCTTAGCCGTTAAATCGTCATAAACAGAGACCAATCTTCCAGCCAATATATTTCACAACCCGTATTGTGGCCGTTGCTGGGCCCAAATGCATGGTATTTTGGGCTACATTTGACCATCCTTTAACCTCCATAAAGATGTTCAATTTCTAAGAAGATATTCTTTTCCTTCAAGAAATCCACAAAAGAATCTGGGTCCGACAAAGAAAGAAAGAAGAAACCAATAGAAAAGAAAAGGGTCTCCATAACACAAAGGACCAAATGAAGCATTAGAAAAGGAGAAGATGAGCTTCTTTGGGCAATTCTTGGTGGTAGAGAAAAGTAGGGTTGCAATGGGCTAGGCCCTAGCCCCTATATGGCCGGCTTGGGCGGAAAGAAACCCACTCCTTTGGACCACTATACAATAAAGTAACAAAAAAAAAAAGATTTACATTTGGATCTCAAATTTTTATCCTAATATACAAAATGTTCCATTTAAAGGGCACTATCCCAAAGCTTGGGCCACTACCCTACTAACGGTAAAAGATAAAAAGAAAAAAAAGGAGCATTTCGTATTTTACAAAAAATATTAGAGTCCGGATGTAAATCACTCAAAAAAAAATAATAAGAAAAAAAGTTGGGCCAGTCGAACTTGGTGGACCCTATCAATGACTTGGCCCGGGTCCTACCTGGCTTTATCATTGAGCCATAGTGGCCTCGCTGGCCCTAGTTGTTTGGGCCACCAACAGGCCATTGCCAGCCCATTGTCAGCCCTAGAGAAAAGGAACTTCGAAATGGATAACCATTTCTCCTAACTGTAATATTTGCATAAATATCCGGTTGCTGCTGAAAAATTAGGTCCAGCAGAAAATCAGGATCTGTTTATTTACACTCAACTTCGAACTCAAAGCAGCCCTGGCTTGCAAACATTCGTCCTTCATGATTAGCCTCTCATTCATCAGGATGTGAGTTAGTTGCTTGCTCTTCTTAGCATGTACATCTCCTTCTACAGTAATAATGAATGCCATTAATATAACATCGACCAACTATAAAGACCAAGGGGTCTGTTTGATGAAATTCATATATATTTTTTTTTCTTTTGATATTGCGTATTGTTATAGAGGATAATTTTGAGGCTGATGTTTTAAAAAAGCGGAGTGCACCGATCATCTTCATGATCTCATCGTTCCTGTAACTTTCCTTGTATCTCCCTTTAAAATTCACGGTTAATTTTCAAAAAAAAAAGAAAAACAACGACCGGCTCAAATGTGAAGAACCCGACCAAAAAGGACAAAAGAAGTTAAAATTGACCAAAATAATATGAGAATATGTATTGGAGAAAATTTGGAAAAAAAAAAGGTCAGAAATACGAGGACGAAGAGAATCAAACGTCGGAAACGACGTGATGAGAAGAGAGAGAGTAGAATTAAAGAACGTCAGAACGAGCAGTTATCCATGGCTCAGAATAATCATCAGATGGCATGATGCACATGCAAGGTTTTCAAGTGGGGTAGACTCCAATGTGTCCAAATTTTTTTTTGACTATGAAATAGAGAAAAGCAAATAATCCCCATCACTGTCTAATCAATGATGTAATGGGCGTCACCCTCTTTTTTTCTCTTTTTTTGTTTTTTTTAATTTCAGGGTCATGTACCTCACTGTATTTGGACCACTGTTGTCATCACAAAACCTGCCGGTTCGAACCGGAACCCGACGGTTAGATTGGTACCGGCAAGGTACCGACTCTGGTTAAAGTCGGTTTTGTGGTACTAATAGATACCTCGGTCTCTCCAAAATATTTCGGCACCAAAACCGGCCGGCTTATGGTCGAATCGGCCGTTTTCATTCAAAACCAACCAGTTTATTCAAACGGGTCAGGTTTAACGATATAACACCTGAAATAACGTACAAAATGGTATAATATGAAATAACGGCCGTCATTTGACACAACGGGCATTATTTGTAACAGAAACTGTGACTCGAATTTTGTAGCTTTTTTTTATTCCAATTTCTTACTTTTTTTTGTTTGTGTCGATCAATTATTGCACTTATACACCTGAAATTTTCTATAAATAACTGTTTATTGAATCAAAATCGCAGAAGAACGATTTTCTGTGGATTGAAAATGGCGGATTTATGAAATTGTGAAATTTCCGCCATTTTATCAATCTGAGCTTCAATACCCCATGAATATGCATGAAAATGGAGGGCTTTGATGCATTATTGAAGGCTTAAACTATTCCCTGTTTCGATTTGTCGAAAAAGATGAATATTTGAGGTTGATTTCGGCCAAAAGTGAGTAGCAGTGAAGAACTGTATTCGATGAAAAAAAATTGATTTTTGATCCATGCATTGATCGTTTGTTTTCGAAGTTATCAGTGAAGTTTGATCATAAAGGCTTCATCAACATAATAAATTAGGTATTTTGATTTATCATTGAGTAAATTTATTTATATGAATTTTTTTTGCTGCGTTTTTGTTTTGAAAATTTCGTGAAGTGAAATATCCATCATTTTTTGAAGAACAATTTCAATAGTGAATGGATTTTCATGAAATATGGGGCATTTGAATCTTAATTGAAGTATTTATCATATCCCCATGTCAATTTGTTCAAACAATGAAAGATTTGGGGTTGATTTTGACTCTAAAGTTTATGTGTTCTTTGGCTCGATTTTAGGGTTCTTAAAAAAAAATTGTTTTTTTAAATAAAATTACATTTTGTTTTTATAAAAAATATGTTATTTGTGTTGAATAATTGAAAAAAAAAATTATTCTTTCTTTTAATTTTATATATATTTGATGAGCCTGTTGGATTATTTTTAATGTTATTTTTTTTTTTACAAAAATATTTTTTTTGTGTGATAGATGCGAGAAAAAATTATTTCTTTCTTTTTAATGTTATATATTTTTTATGAGCTTCTTGGATTGTTTTTAATGTTAGATTTTTTTTTATAAAACTTTGTTTTTTTTGTGATGATTATGAGAAAAAAAAATTCTTTCATTTTAATTTTATATATTTTTGGTGAGCTTGATAGATTGTTTTTCATGTTGTGCTCTTTATATTTTTACAAAAATATGTTTTTTTGTGATGAATATGAGAAAAAAACATTTCTTTCTTTTTAATGTTATATATTTTTGGTGAGTTTGTTGGATTGTTTTTAATGTTATATTTTTTTTTATAAAAGAATATTTTTCATGTTAAAATTGCAATCTTATATAAATTTTTCATCTTAATTTTACATTTTTAAGTTGTAATGTCTACAAAAGGCAAACCTTTTGTGGAAAAAGGTGCATATCCTGAATATCTTTATTGCCGAGGTGATTATTTTCTAGTTATGAAGGCTATTTATTGATTCATGGTCATGATCATTTAGGGGAATAATCTATCAATGGCTAACTTTGCTTTTCTTTTTCATGATTGATCAATAGTGCTCCATTCTTTTTCTCTAACTATTTATTTATTAATTTTTTTGTTTGTATAATGATTTTGTTTTGCTCCTTAATTCCCATCGATTCAAGGTCTCATTGCACCTCATTCCTATAACTGTGCATCATTTTTTTTGCTCCTCAATCTTATTTTTTTGTTCATGTATTGTTGGTTTATGGGATTATTGTCGATTTTTTCGTTTTGATGAAAAATTTGATAACTAATTGTTGGTGTATCTGCTGTCTATGTTCTCAACTTCTTGTTTGGTTGTGACATTTTATTCTAATTTATTTTTTTATTTATTTCAAGTTATCTATCATTTGTTGCAACTTCATACTCCTGAAATCTATTTATCAGCCTCTATGAAGAAAAGAGGTAGAAACTAAAAAGTGTTTTACTCATCTCTCATGTTTCCACGTGCTGAAATGGATAAAAAGTTAACCTATTTTTTTTTAAATATGCATCTTAATTCTACATTTTAATGTTGCTATCTTATATAATTATTATTTTTTCATGTTAAAACGCAACTCAAAAGGTTATTGAGTAAATGAGGTTTGACCATTTGAGATTTGGCCATTTGCAAATCGATTTGGTCATATTTTTTTAAAATATAGAATTTAGCCATTTGAAGCAGTACTTAACACCTTGACCCACACCCTGCATTTGATAACCAAGTTATTGAGTCAACGAGGTGTTCTCTCTTACTGCCTTGACTCACAACCCTTTGAAAAACTGGGAACATTATGCTATTAGAAAATATGCTCTCAAATCTAATTCTAAACTGTATTAAAGGGTTTTTCAACATTAAAACAACTTCTTTCAACA